AGGTCAGGTGACGCAGCACTGTCATCGACTGTTTGAGGCAGAATCTCAAACGACTCCTTCTCCTACAAAGAGCAGCACACAGGTCTTAAACTAACGGCTACTGATCTAAACAGAGCGCAGAGTCTAACAGAGAACCACTCTGGACTCAGCCATGAGAGACGATTCATACTGGATAAAGACCAATATTTGGGTGGATCAGATTCAGACTCAGAACAGACTCAGTTTATATCACAATACCTACATTTAGAGTCGGTTATTCATTCAGCCTAATGAGAAACTGTAGAACAGACTCAGTCTATAGGCCTGTGTCCATGTCCTCGCTATCACACACTCACAGTCTCTACACTAATCCACTCACGCTACAGCTGCACACCATCAGCACTGATAATACACTCCAATTAGCGCTGAGGACACGGACACACACACACACACACACACACACACACACACACACACTCGTCCCAACAGCTGTAATTAAAACTTATCTGACAGGCTCTTCCGCTGTTTAGCATCTTATATTCAATTAACGCACGGGGTGCCAACAATTCTGTCCCAGTGAGCACTATCACACACACATCAGTACTTATCAGCGCTAATGAACGGCAGCTAACACACACACACCCTCACTACACACTCACTACACACTCATTTTCATACACACAATGTAAAGCTATAGTATAAATAATAATAAAAAGCTGCAAAAAGCTTTTTTTTATAATGCTCAATAAAGCCTTTAGAGGGCAGCGGTGAGCACAGGTACCAACAGCAGAGGAGCATTTGGTCCTCCCCAAAACAAAATGAATGATTTGCAGTTAAACTGCATTTAAATGTTCGAAAATAGTTGAGATTTGAGGGATATGGATATTGTTTCAGGTGCAGTAACACCTTTAGAGGGCGGCGGTGAGTAACGTTTGTTGTTTCAGGTGCAGTAACACCTTTAGAGGGCGGTGGTGAGTAACGTTTGTTGTTTCAGGTGCAGTATCACCTTTAGAGGGCGGCGGTGAGTAACGTTTGTTGTTTCAGGTGCAGTGACACCTTTAGAGGGTGGTGGTGAGCAGCAGTTGTTCTCAGGAGCACACAGCCTTAACTGAAGTGTGCAGCCAGGGGGCACCGTTCCTGTTTTTAGACCGGATCCCCAGAATCACTAAATTCGCCCAGTTTGAAACTAATGACAAACATTCAGACTTACAGAAACACAATTTAGTGAATTCTTCACTCTTCCAGGTGAGGACTAAGTGAACAGCACTACTGCATCACCGCTACCTGCACCAGGGCTGTTTTACACCTCTTAAAGGTTTCACTGAGACATTAGCTAGCTAACGCTAATGTTATTAGCATGCATGTCCATCCCCTCCAATCACGAATTAGCAGTTACGCCCTTGAAGACAAACGTCAAGACTCTTCTGTGGCGTCAGCTGATGGGACCGAATACTGATTGTGACCAAAAAATGAATTTGTGATTAACTCACAGGAGCTTCTTAGCATAGTTAGGTTCAGTTCTATTAGCATGAGGAACAGGATACAGTGGAACACAGAGCCCTTCAGTCACTCTGGATTAGAGGACAAAGCAAAATACCGTAAATGAGAAGGTAAATATGAACGGAAATCAGCTTCCAGTCTAAAAGACTTTCCACCTGTATGTAAAAGTCTCAGCGAGCGGCTGAATTAGTCATTCTGTAACGGAGCCGGAAGAGCGACTGATCCACTCGTGAGGGAAACTCCTCATTCATATTTCATGACTCCACCGTAGCGCTCCGAACAGCACTCACCCACCGAACCCCCCCAAACCAACACGCTTCTCCAATCTGCCTTAAAAACTTCAGGGACTCATTTCCCATTCCTGTAGTAGAGTCGAGGACTGTGGAACTTCAGACTCAGCGCTAAAGACTCACAGAGAGAGAGAGAGAGAGAGAGAGAGGGAGAGAGAGAGAGAATGAAAGAGAGAGATGAGCGTGTGCAAGAAAAAAAATTAGAGTAACAAAGAAAAATTAAATTAAACAAAAAAGAGGAGGGAAAGGAGGCAGAGCTGGAGGTAGGCTGAAGGAAGCGAGGCAGAACTGATGAAGGTGTGATTAATGGAGACAGGACTTGAGACAGGATATGGGAATGACAGAGGTGGGACTGATGGAGATGGGAAAGATGGAGCAGGGAATTATGGGATTGATTAAGGCAAGACTGATAAAGGCAAGACTGATGGAGGTAGGATTGATGAAGGTGGGAATTACGTAGGAATAAAGGTGGGATGTGGGAATTATGGAGATGGGAGTGTTTGAGGTGTGAGTGATGGAGACAGGACTCACAGCGATAGGAATGATGGAGCTGGGACTGATGAACGGATGAGGAGGTGGGAATTATGGAGACAAGATGGACAGAGATGGAGGGACTGATGGAGGCAAGACAGATAGAGACAGAGGGACTGATGGAAACAAGACAGAGAGAGATGGAGGGACTGATGGAGACAAGACGGATAGAGACGGAGGGACTGACAGAGGCAAGACAGAGAGAGATGGAGGGACTGATAGGGCGAGATGAATAGAGACGGAGGGATTGATGGAGACAAGATGGACAGAGACGGAGAGACTGATGGAGACAAGATGGATAGAGATGATACAGGTGGGGATGATGGACTGATGGACCGATGAGGACAGGAATGATCCAGGTGGGCCTGACGGTGTTGGGAATGATGGCTCAAACTGTGGTACTGGAAGAAAGCCATGAAGACGGGGTTCAGGACACAAATTTCCAGGGGTCCATGCCCCACAGAGCTAACCCCACTGAAATGAACAGAGCTAATGCTAATGCTTCCCTCCAAGTCCTACAGTATCTCCACAGGCAGGACAGATGGAGAGGAACTTCTGGTAGAAGTTCTGGAATTTTCTCAGGCAGGAAACTACATTTTTATACAGGCACTCAAAGCAGCAGCAGCATTCCGATTCTGAGCATGTCGTTCCCATTCATTATTTAATACAGGCATTAGCATGAATGTGTTAGTGTGCAGGTCCCTTTAGAGACACCTGCCCTCCCTCCCTCTGTCTCTCCCTCCCTCCCTCCCTCCCTCCTTCTGTCTCTCCCTCCCTCCCTCCTTTTCCCTGTCTCTCCTCTGAGAGTGGCTCCTTTTGTCCGAACAGAGCCACAGTAAGGTGCCGCCGGGCCGCTCCTGATCAAAGCCAGAGAAAAACCGCAGATAACAGCTGTGTGACGTCCCGTCTCCCCCTGCGGAGACCACCTGGGTCTCTCCCAGCAGCCGCTCACCTTTCAGCCCCCCATCAGCTCTTTACTCTCTCTGCTGCAGGGAGAAACTCCTCTCCACAGCCGCAGCGACAAGAGGACGTGTTACAAATTCGTTTATTACTATTAATACCTGTCAGGGTTTGGATGGTGCTCTGCTGACCAGGCCGCGAGAGTTCTGAGCGTAAGTAAAGGCGACCCTGTTCTCATTAATGCTGAGTGTGGGGCGAGAGAGTAGCGCAGGGTGAGAGGAGAGAGAGCAAAAAGAGAACTGATCATACAGAAGGAAATTGCTTTAAACAGAGGGTCAGTGAGCGACTCAGTTAGCAGCAGGAACTTTATGCAGACTGACAGCTGTGAGCAGGGACGAATTACCAGGCCTGGCATGTCCTCAAAGACAGCGCGGATCTTTAACAACCTTGCTTGGCCAGCAGGCTAGATCTTTTTAAAGCCACGCACATCCCACACTGACATCAGCGACAGGACGGCTCGATGTCTCGCTTGTACACTGTTCGGAAACTCTTGGTAAAGATGGATAAAAAAGGTCAACAAATGTCTGTGATATATGAGACAACGTGGACCTTTAACTCAAAACATTTAGAGCTACAGGGAAAAATGTTTTTGACTATATTAATTTAAAATAGCCAAGTATTTCCATCCCGCTGGCGGAGTGGCCAATGAGATGGTAGAACATCGTAATTATTGCCTTACAAGTGAATAAAGGCATTTTCAGGCATTGGCTGATTTATGAAGGTTAACATACAGTCGTCTCATTTCACCTCCGTGTTGGTAAACGAATGGAACCTCATTAGTTTCCTCCAGTCAAACAGCCCTATTTTAACTGGATTAGTTTATCAGAGACGTCCTTCCTTTTGGTCTTATTTATGCAAAGCACACTGAATTGCCTTTGTGTATGAAATGTGCTGTATAAACAAACTTCCCTTGTCTATAGTCAGTTTTTAAACCTCTCTTCAGCGATAAAATTCCCAGAACTGGATGGCAGCAAAATGACCAAAAGATGAGTGGGTTATATTTTCTACAAACTCGGATTCTTGCATTTCTTGGATGTTTGTGGTCATACGTTAACAGAAAACTACAACTTGACAATATTGTCATCTGTTGCCTCCTGTGAGTATGAAGTAATGCCTTATACCTGCAGCTGCCAATATAACCTGCTTTATAATCTCACATTTATGACTGGCCTTCTTTTCTTTCTCCTCCTACTAACGCTCTCCCAGTGTAGAAAACCCAGACCATGTAAACAGTTCTAAAGTATCCATCATTTAACAAGGATGTGACCCAGTAAGCTAAGACACTAAATATGGCGAGTAGCAGAGGTTTATTATCCCAATGTGATGTGATCTCTGCCTGGAAAATCGGAGAGATATGCATCCAGATGGGGCTTAAAATGATGAGACACCACTGAGTTCAGTGAAAAACTGTATCTGGCCTGTAATTTTCACAGTGGATGAGGGACAAAAACACTGGAGGAGAATCAATAATAAGAATCCTGTCTGAATCGGGTTTTAGACTAAACTGACTTCAGATAAAGTTTAATTTCTCTCAGTTTCAGTGTGAGATTAAGTTAATTAGCCACAAAAACTTTTTTCCCTTTTTTTTTAAATTTATTTTTGCCAAGCGTGCCAATAATAATGGAGTTGACTGTATCCATGTACATCTGTGGGCGGAGCTTGGATGTGTAGGTGGAGCATGGAAGGATCGCGTTACCGTAAGTTAACAGTACAGAAGGTAGCCGAGGCTGAGGTTCTTACCCCTTTACAGATGGCCACGGCTTCTTTGGACATGGATTTCGGATAAGACACGTGATGCTCCATGATGGACTGAAACAGCTCATCCTCATCCTCACCATCAAATGGGGGCTGAGAGAGAGAGAGAGAGAGAGAGAGAGAGAGAGAGAGAGAGAGAGAGACAGAGAGAGAGAGAGGTCATCATCTCACTGCTGTCGTCAGAAAACCTCTCCACTTTACACTCTGTGAACGTTTAATGATGAGGACTAACAGAAAAGCAAACCTTTAACCTAAATACACATACTGACTTTATAAACATGCTAAAGTCTTTATCTGCATTTTTATTAAGTCTTTATTTATTGGCTTCATTTCATTTATGTATGTTATGAGATCATCAGGACTGGTCCTGTGAAGGAGCTCTGTGACGGTGTTTGTTTTGAGGAAGCCATAAAAGACTCTTCATAAGAAACTATATCAGGTCTTCAGTGGGAGCAGTTCACTAAATCACTGAGTGCTTTATTGTGTTTTATCCCACAGTTCAGATCAGTTATTCATAAATAATAACAGAGCTGGACAGCCACGAACTCGCCCTGTCAGCCTGGGGGGGATTAATTAATATGAACTGACCTGGAGCGAGAGAGGCCGGGTTAGCCTCGGTCAGAGAGAGAGAGAGAGACAGAGAGAGAGACAGAGAGAGAAAGAGAGAGAGAGACACAGAGAGAGAGAGAGACAGAGAGGAGGAGGAGAGAGAGAGAGAGAGAGAGAGAGAGAGAGAGAGAGAGAGACACAGAGAGAGAGAGACAGAGAGGAGGAGGAGAGAGAGAGACAGAGAGAGAGAGAGAGAGTAGAGAGAGAGAGAGAGAGTGTCTCACCTGTCCTGCCAACATCTCATACAGCAGCACTCCAAACGCCCACCAGTCCACCGACTTGCCGTACGGCTGATACGCAATAATCTGCAACACACACACATTTACACTCCTGAATATCTGTACTGAGAGATCGGGGGGGTCTGGAGTCTGTACTCTGTATGTGCTCTGAGCAGCCTGAGAGTACACAGTACAGACTACAGAGTGCAAACCACTGACTACAAAGTACAGACTACAGACTATAAAGCACAGGCTAGAGAGTATAGAGTACAGACTAGAGTACAGACTACAGACTACAGACCACAGAACACAGACTCCAAAGTACAGACTACTGGCTACAGACAACAGAGTACAGACTACAGACTCCAAAGTACAGATTACTGACTACAGACTACAGAGTATAGACTACAAATTGCAAAGTATAGACTATTGACTACAGAGTAAGTACTACAGACTCCAAAGTTTAGCTTACTGACAGCACAGACACCAGACTCCAAAAAAACAGACTACTAACTACAGACTACAGTGTAAGTAGTACAGACTCAAAAGTACAGACTACTGACTACAGACTACACAGTATAGAGTACAGACTACACAGTACACAGTACAGACTACTGACTACAGACTACAGAGTACAGACTACTGAATATAGAGTACAGACTACACAGTACAGAGTACAGACTACACAGTACACAGTACAGACTTCTGACTACAAAGCACAAAGCACAGAGTACAGACTCCAGACTCCAGACTCCAGCAGGCTTCAGTGCTGTTCGTGTGTGTCTGAGTGAGTCTCAGCCTGCTGTTGGTGTTTGACTGAAGCTCCACCATCTGCTCCTCTGTCAGAAGACGCGTGATATCTAATCAACTTAATTACTCAGGCTGGCCTCCCCTGAGCCCCCCCTAACCGCCCCCCCTCACACACACACACACACACACACACACATGCACACACACACACACACACTCTACAGACAGATATCTGGAGTCTGCGTGTTCTGTAGGTTCTTCATGCATATTAACAGCAGCACGTTTTGGTGCAGACAGACCAAACACACCTAATTATGAGTGTGTGTGTGTGTGTGTGTGTGTGTGTGTGTGTGTGTGGGTGTGTGTGTGTGGTAAGAGAGGGTCTGCAGGCAGTTAAGAGCCACCTAAGCTCGACTGAGGGATAACAGGGTCAAACTAACAGAGGACTAAATGTCACACGGATATTTAATGTAGCTGACGAGGTTCCAGCAGAACGTGCTTTTGCTCACCTTCTCAGGTTCCCATAGCAACATCATCTGTGAATTGACAGATATTTCACCCTGAAGACTGTTTATACTCCTTATAAGTAAAGTTGTTCCATCCTGAGTGTTTGTGATCAGTGATCTGTTCAGAATTCACTCCTATTCTACTGTAATCTCCTCTTGGTGAGGGTAATATAGCAGTGATTAGTGCCTCCATCTCCAGAGCGTCTGGTGGGTTTCAGTGCTCAACATCGCTAAAGACCGCCCACTTTGTCTGCCCGCATTTGACTGACATGTGTACCGACCAATCACAGCCTGTTCGAATGACATGTACATGGTGCTGATTGTGAAAACGGTGCTATAACAAAACAGACCAGTGTGAAACAAAGTGGAGCTCTTTGACAAACAGACAAGACTACAGAGTTTCTGAGCCACGAACTGTGGAACGCCGGTCTCGGCGCTGCTCACCTCGGGGGCGATGTAGTCCGGAGTCCCACAGAAGGTTTTGGTCGTCACACCTTCAAGCATGTTCTCCTTACACATCCCGAAATCAGCAATCTTAATATGACCCTCAGCGTCCAGCATGACATTGTCCAACTTCAGATCTCTACAGAGAGAGAGAGAGAGAGAGAGAGAGAGAGAGAGAGAGAGAGAGAGAGAGCCTAATGAGAAACTGTAGAACAGACTGAGTTTATATCACAATACCTACATTTAGAGTCAGTTATTCATTCAGCCTAATGAGAAACTGTAGAACAGACTGAGTTTATATCACAATACCTACATTTAGAGTCAATTATTCATTCAGCCTAATGAGAAACTGTAGAACAGACTCAGTTTATATCACAATACCTACATTTAGAGTCGGTTATTCATTCAGCCTAATGAGAAACTGTAGAACAGACTCAGTTTATATCACAATACCTACATTTAGAGTCGGTTATTCATTCAACCTAATGAGAAACTGTAGAACAGACTGAGTTTATATCACAATACCTACATTTAGAGTCGGTTATTCATTCAGCCTAATGAGAAACTGTAGAACAGACTCAGTTTATATCACAATACCTACATTTAGAGTCGGTTATTCATTCAGCCTAATGAGAAACTGTAGAACAGACTCAGTTTATATCACAATACCTACATTTAGAGTCAGTTATTCATTCAGCCTAATGAGAAACTGTCGTTTATGTCACAGTGGGTCTTAACTCACCTGTAAATGATGCCTTTACGGTGCAGGAAGAACAGGCCTATAGCGATCTCTGCAGCGTAGAACCTACACACACAGATCAGATCAAAACAATGTGCAGCATTTACAGTTACTGAACCCCAACAACAAAAACGCCTTAAACAACATGAGTTCTGCTGTTGCTTCTGCAGGACTGGAGAAATGTTTAAACTTTCACAAATATCTGACAATTAACCAACTGGAATCTATAAAACTCGGCTGCACATCAAATTTAATGTTTCTATTAATGTTTTTCTGTCTTTGCACCCTTTTGATGGAAACACGCAGGGTGAAAAACGCAGGGTGAAAAAAATGACTAAACTAGATAATAGTCATGCTGAGTTATGGGCAAGTTCATTTAAAGTGCTCTGTGAGTGAGCGAGTGAGCGAGTGAGCGAGCGAGTGAGCGAGCGAGCGAGCGAGTGAGCGAGTGAGTGAGTGAGTGTGGCGTGAATGTCAACTTTGCCTTTTTACTGTTTATTTATTGATTTTTTAACACCGTACAGAAGATACTCAGACACCAGACGCATTAAACCTCTTAGTTTCACAGCTTCTCTCTGTGCATCTCGTTAATGCAATGAGATGGGTATCAACCAATGAGATTGCTGATATGTGGTGATGAGATTCAGCATGTGAACGCACTCAGCGTGGGGGATTAAAATGACTGACCAAAACAAATGAATGTATTCAGGTCATTATTAGGCTGAATGATTTTTATGTTTAACATAAACAGGCTCGGCTCAGGACTGGCCTACAGCTCCACACGCTTTCCCTCTGAACACCTCGACCTGCTCATGTTTAATAACCCGCCCTCAAACTGAGGGAGTTTATTTGTAATTATAATGACTGAGGGAAGCGATTTGGCTCACCGTAATGAAAACAGTACGCAGAGGGTTCCTACTGCACGTTCTGGTGGATGAAATATATGAATAAAAGTATCTCCACTTCTCCACAGTGTGTGAGTGTTTTACTGCATATGTACACGGTTAATGCAAAGTATAGTGCAGCTACATCAGCCTCGTAGCTCCAGCGCTACACGTCTTGACGTTTCCAGTAAACAAGGTGAAACTCTGGGAATTAGATTTCGGGACAAACTATCGCTTTAACTCCTCTGTAGCACAGCAGTGTGTGATGGAGAGAATGGGCTTTTACACACACTGCACCAGACAGCAGGGGACGGAGAGAGAGAGAAACGAGGGAGAAATAAAGAGAAATAAAGAAATAAAGCTGTGTGTTTGGTGAGTCCCACTGAGCTCAGTACTGAACACACACGTTTCTCTCTGCGGCAGAAACGAGTCTGCAAGACAACGATGTGTGTAATCGAAACAGTGAGTCAAAACACAGTGAAAGCGCTTATCAAAGCGGCCGAATCACGTGACTTTAGTACAAGAAGCTTCGTTACTTCATACACGGTTTTAAAATGTTTGGAAGTTTTGGTGATTGACCACTAGGGGGTGACCTTATAATGATCCGTTGTCAAATGTTCTAGCTGTGTCAGTTATCATAACTCAGGTTCTTATGAAATGATTTAAACAATTTCTACTCTTCACTCTTAGAAATAAAGGTACTGAACTGTCTCTGGGTCAGTCCTCCTCTTGTCACTGGGGTGGGACCCTCAAGGCTCCATCTCAGTGCCTTTAGTCAGGGAACATAACTGAACCATAATCCACTGAATGATATGTTCTAAGCTGTACTGACTCCACACACCCCGTCTCGTCTCCAGGCTTTATTTTACTGTTCTGTTTAAAACATTCGGTTATGAAAAGGTACAAATACGAACTTTTCACCTGGAAAAACTTATTTAAGGTTCACAATCAGACCTTAAAACCACTGTTGGAGCTTTGAGGAACATTTACACTGTTTGTACCTTGATGAACGAAAAATGTACCTGAAAAGAACCTTTATTAATAACAGTGTAGGAGGTGCATTCTGACTAATTTTGATATTCATGTGTTCATAATAGTTAATAAACAGAAAAGCACCATCCAAAAACGCTACAGCTAACTTTCACCAACTGTGTAGTCTGATCTTCAGAGTCTGACCAAATCAGACTGAGCCATAAAACTGCTGCAATATCAAGTTCAGCTCAGTTTTGTCAGTTTTTGCCAGATCAGTATTGATGTTGTTTTGTTCCAGCCAGTCTGTAAAGCATCTTACAGCCCATTTAGTTTGGCGAATGGTGTTGGGTTCATTTCTGGCTGATTCCAGGTTGTTCAGCTGTTCTTCTGTCTCAGCTGCCGACTGAAAAGCTGCTCAGTGGTGACGACAGTTTGGGAATTTAGTGTCGTCTCATCTTCAGAGTCTGACCAAATCGGCTGTCGGTCAAATGTGATCTTAAAAGTGTCCGTTTTCTGTTTGTGGCAAAGTAAGAAGTAAAAACGTTCAAATGTCTTGAGCGTCTCCTACAGCTGTCAACGTCGTTGCTTAGCAACAGCGTCTCAGCGGAGTGATAAAGTGTTTGTGAAAAACCTGTGATGTTGTGGTGAAATAACAGCACAGTTAGAACGCTGCTCAACCAATCAGCTTGCGTGGCCGGAACTGACTGTTGTATAAATATATTTACAAAGCAAAACTGTCCCAATTTACAGTCCTGTTAAAACATGAAATGTCCTGATGAAGGCCTGCGAAGGCCACAGGCGATATATTAAAAATATTTTAATATATTTTTAATATATCGCCATGTTTCAGTAAAGACTGTCATACCTCTCTTAAGACAGCGTGCTCGGGAATTTCTTTACTCTGGGATTTATTCTGCACATGTCTTGCGGATGCGGAAGGATTTTTTGGTTTTTGCCTCTCCCAGCATGGTAACCTTATTTTTGCAGCCACGCCTCACGAGCTCCTGACCTTTTCTTCATTTTGGTGAAGAGCTTCTTCACTTTTGTTTTTACCATTGAATGTGTTAGCATCATGCTAACGGGAGGTTAGCGTACTCACACAGCGTGGGGCTCCTTGAACTTGCCGACCTGCTGAATCTGATACATCAGGTCTCCTCCGTTAATGTACTCCATCACAAAGTAGAGCCGGTCCTGCGGACACAGAAACAAACAGCCATTTACAGTAAAGCACTGACACAGTAAAGCACTGACAGTAAAGCACTGACAGTAAAGCACTGACACAGTAAAGCACTGACACAGTAAAGCACTGACAGTAAAGCACTGACACAGTAAAGCACTGACACAGTAAAGCACTGACAGTAAAGCACTGACAGTAAAGCACTGACACAGTAAAGCACTGACAGTAAAGCACTGACACAGTAAAGCACTGACAGTAAAGCACTGACACAGTACAGCACTGACAGTAAAGCACTGACACAGTAAAGCACTGACAGTAAAGCACTGACAGTAAAGCACTGACACAGTAAAGCACTGACAGTAAAGCACTGACACAGTAAAGCACTGACACAGTAAAGCACTGACACAGTAAAGCACTGACACAGTACAGCACTGACAGTAAAGCACTGACACAGTAAAGCACTGACACAGTAAAGCACTGACACAGTACAGCACTGACAGTAAAGCACTGACACAGTAAAGCACTGACAGTAAAGCACTGACACAGTAAAGCACTGACACAGTAAAGCACTGACACAGTAAAACACTGACAGTAAAGCACTGACACAGTAAAGCACTGACACAGTAAAGCACTGACAGTAAAGCACAGACACAGTAAAGCACTGACACAGTAAAACACTGACAGTAAAGCACTGACACAGTAAAGCACTGAGAGTAAAGCACAGACACAGTAAAGCACTGACACAGTAAAGCACTGACACAGTACAGCACTGACACAGTAAAGCACTGACAGCACGTTCTGAATTTAGCTCTAATTTGTCAGTGAGGTCAGTCTCTCTGCATGTTCTTTTGTACGCTGCACAAGTTTTACAGATTACAGACTGATGCACTTTCTGTGTGATTACTGCAGCTGTATCAGGTCCAAAACAGAGGATGTTTGTATGCAAGAAAGAACAGATGTGGTTTAAGGTGGGATTTAAACAAACGCAGAGAGTTTGACTGTTGAATGTGTGAAGGGAGAGAGTCTCAGAGGCCTGGAGCAAGTCTGGAAAATGCTCGGTCACCAAAGCCACGGAGGCCTAAAGAGGGAATAGTAAGCAGTCCAGCTGTAGAAGATTGGAGAGTGCGGCTTGTACAGGTGAAGAAGGTCAGATAGGTGACCTGAATGAATTTTATGGGAAGCCAATGGAGATTTTAGTAGAAGATATAAGTTTAAACAGGGAGCTCCTGTGAGAATCAAGTTTGAGTGTAGAATCAATGATAAAACCCAGATTTTGGACCACAGAGGAACAAGACCAAACGTCGTCAATTGAAAGAGTACAGGAGCCAGATTTATTGAGAATAGATTCAGAACCAATGAGAATGAGTTCAGTCTTATCACTGTTTAGAATTATGAGTTGTGTTTCATCCTATTTCTCATTTTTGAAAGGCACAATTCTAGGTTACCAAGATAAATCTGTATGTGGTCAGCATAACAATAAAAGTCGAGGTTAAAACAGTGTATGATCTGACCAAGCGGGAGTATGTAGATAATAAATAATAAAGGCACAAGTGCTGAACCTTGTGGGACCCCCTGAGTATCAGTGAAAATAGAGGAGCTGTGACCAGAGAGAGAAACAAATTACTCACGATCTGTTAGGTAAGAAGGGAACCAATCAAGAGCAGAACCTCGCTCTGTAGATCACTCTTAGTGCAGGTATTGTGATATAAACTCAGTCGTATTATCAGCGTTCACTAAAGTTTAGCTCATTCAGCTCTATAAAAAAGGTCTTGTGCAGAAAATAATAAATGAATGTGGATAAAAAATATTAAGGGAAAAACAAAAGGGAATAAAAGCACTAAGAGAGAAGGATAAACAAGATGAATATTCAGGAGATAAAGGGGGAAAACAGAGCTCTTTAATATTTTCAGTGAGAGCTGTTCTCATGTTCTGAAAAGTGTTTTTATAGAACGTTCTCTCAGTGAGGTTCTCTGTAGCTCCGACAGACAAACCCAGTTTATTATCTTTGTAGACTGTGAAAGTATCTGGAACTGCTATATATTAGCTCCTTTTCCACTGCGTGGTACCGGTTTGACTCAACTCTACTTGCATTTTTTGGTTCTCCATCAGGCAAATCTGGTACCGGGTACTAATTTTACCACCTCTGTCGAGGTTCCAAGCGAGCTGAGCCGACACCGAAAGGTGGAGTAAAAATGCTGCAGACTGCTGATCAGAGAAAATCGCTGAACACATGTGTGTTAGCGTTAGCTACCAGGTTAGCATAGCCTCTCGCGTAGCCTTTAAGCTCCAAAGTCGTCTCAGCGTCTGAGCTCTGCTGTAGTTTTTCTCAAACTCTCCTGTTTTCCTCAGCAGTTTTTTGTCTCGCTGCATCTTCTGAACAACATTTGTCTCCTTTGCATCACGGAACTTAATGCAGCGCTGCTATGACGACCAGCTACACTGAGGGGGCGCTATATCTGCAGTGGAAAACGAAGTCACCCAAAAAACGTGAATCTATTTTTGTGGATTTTCTACATCACTGAAACACACCAGCCTCCTGCTGTCCTTTACACTGCGTGAGAACGTAAAGATGAATGGACCGACAGAGATGCTCCAAAATCACTTCGAATAAAATCCCTTTATGTAACTTAGACTGGAGGTGAAGAACGTTTTCGTCTTCTTTAAGTTACTGTTTTGGAGATTCTGACAGTGATGATATCCTAAAAAGCACTGATTGGTTAGCGTTACTGCTACTGAGTGCTGATTGGTTAGAATTACTGCTACTGAGCGCTGATTGGTTAGAATTACTGCTACTGAGCGCTGATTGGTTAGAATTACTGCTACTGAGTGCTGATTGGTTAGAATTACTGCTACTGAGCGCTGATTGGTTAGAATTACTGCTACTGAGCGCTGATTGGTTAGAATTACTGCTACTGAGCGTTGATTGGTTAGAATTACTGCTACTGAGTGTTGATTGGTTAGAATTACTGCTACTGAGCGCTGATTGGTTAGAATTACTGCTACTGAGCGCTGATTGGTTAGAATTACTGCTACTGAGCGCTGATTGGTTAGAATTACTGCTACTGAGCGCTGATTGGTTAGAATTACTGCTACTGAGAGCTGATTGGTTAGAATTACTGCTACTGAGTGCTGATTGGTTAGCGTTACTGCTACTGAGCGCTGATTGGTTAGAATTACTGCTACTGAGAGCTGATTGGTTAGAATTACTGCTACTGAGTGCTGATTGGTTAGGTTACTGCTACTGAGCGCTGATGGTAGTTCTGCTACTGAGAGCTGATTGGTTAGAATTACTGCTACTGAGTGCTGATTGGTTAGCGTTACTGCTACTGAGCACTGATTGGTTAGCGTTATTGCTGCTGAGCGCTGATTGGTTAGCAGTACTGCTACTGAGCGCTGATTGGTTAGAATTACTGCTACTGAGAGCTGATTGGTTAGCGTTACTGCTACTGAGTGCTGATTGGTTAGAATTACTGCTACTGAGTGCTGATTGGTTAGCGTTACTGCTGCTGAGTGCTGATTGGTTAGCGTTACTGCTACTGAGTGCTGATTGGTTGGCGAGCAGAGCAGCTCATTGGCTGTTCGTGCTCACAGACATCATGAACGTTCATGATGCGCGGTTTTTAAACTCCTATAATTTGAGTTTAAAAGCTCTTAAAAATATATCAGCAGTGCTAAAATGTTTTTTGCTGTTCAGTAAATAATTGTATTCTTTAATATAAAAAATTTAATTAAGCATTTATAAACTATGATTTTGCTTAAATGCTTCATCTTAACCCATTCATTTTGGACTCGGGAGCGCCCTCTAGAGTTTGAGAAACCCGGAAGACATTACAGAGTGTAATTCTCCTCTCTACAAGTTCTCTGACAACAATCCTGATTTTTGTCCTGCAGTTCATCAGTACTGTTTACCCATGTTTAGCCTCTCAGTCTTACGGTAGCGCTGTGTGTTTGAACACGGTGTAAATGTGTGTCTGTTTGTTGCTGTGTTTGTGTGCTGGTGTTTGTACCATGGTCTGGAAGCAGGAGTGGAGCTGAGTGAGGAACGGAGGTTTTCCTGATAAAGCCAGGACTCTCTTCTCCACCATCGTACACTCCACATCATCATCCTGAATCACCACGTCCTTCTTCAGGATCTTTATAGCAAACAGCTCATCAGTTCCCTTACGCTCAGCCAGCATCACCTACAGGCAGAGAGAGAGAGAGAGAGAGAGAGAGAGAGAGAGAGAGAGAGAGAGAGAGAGAGAGAAAATCATTTCCTCTGTTTTTCTCCCATAAGTCTCCTCACTCATAGAAGCTCCTTCCTGCTGCCAGTAAAAGGAAAATAACACAAAACAAAAACATATATATATATATATATGTATATATATATATGTATATAAAGTCATTATGACAGACTGTAATACAGTATTATTTCATAATTAGGAGACGAAACTGAAGAAGACAGACTAGTTATTCTAGTCGACTAATCAAATAATTGCTGACAGAATCATCGATTATAGAAATAGTCATCAGTTTCAGTGCTTCACTGCTTATTAGCTGAAAGAGCTGTTTGGTCTTCATCAGTGCACAGAGCTGAATGAGGAGGTCTGACAGGCAGGTGCTGATAAGAGACAGATTAGAGTCCCACAGAGAGGAAACTGCAGGAATAGACGAGAGAGAGAGAAGCTTTACAGAATGCTGGTAAAACCCCATTCACCCTCATCAGAACCAGCTCTAAATGTAGGTATTGTGATATAAACTGAGTCTGTTCTGTACAAAATGGGTGTTTCTGAGTGTTTCTGGTATTTTGTCCACCCCCTGTATTTCCCCCGTGGAGAACAGAACATTTCCTCTTTATGGTGAAGCAGAACATCTCCACCTCCAGGGTCTTTCTGGGGAAAATCCTGAACGAAGTCACACACACACACACACACACACACACACACACACACACACACACACACACTGGCTGAGCTGGGTTTAAAGCAGGCCCAGATGGACGCTTGGTGACTCGCCATGGAAACGGGAAAACTGTCATTTTCAACTTCACAAGGGCACCATCTGCTCCACACACGCCGCAGACGAGCCTGAGCATTCAGTCATATTCATTAGCTCAGCACTGCTGAGAGGACTGTGTGGTGTGAAGGACACTCAGATGTTCCTAAAAAGCTCCCGAACTTCGAGGCCGGTCACAATTATTGCATAATCACAATTATTGATCACAGTTGTTGTGCTGCTTTTATTTTCCTGTGCGATTCGGCTGGAAGATTCTCTGAAGAGGAACTCGCTGATCAGACGTGCTCATGTATCAGAGAGACGAGCTCAGTGGAGTTTTTAAAAGACAGCTTAGAACATTCCTCTTTCATCGAGCCTGAGGTTCACGATAACGATCACTTTTATTATTGTTCCTTTATTTTATCTCTTCTTTTATTTATTATTTTTGTATTATTTATTCGCAGTGAATTAAGAACAAACCCCACATAAGAGAACATTGGTGAATGACAGAGTCAGAGTAAGAGGGTTTAAGTAGAAATGTATTTATTAGAGCGGTTGGTAACGAGGCCCAGTGTTCTTTATTGGTCTTACTGGTCTTATTTATGTAAAGCACACTGAACTGCCTTTGCGTATGAAACGTGCTGTATAAATGAACCTGCCTCGCCTTCAAACTAGCTCATAAGATATCGACAACCTTTTTAAAACAAGAAGTTTTTACTGAATAATAAAGACAACTGGCCTCATTATATTTGCCCAACGGTTCTTACGTAGAAATTTCTTCTTAAACTCACTTACGCAGTTCTGACGAAGCAGTCATTCACCAATGTTCTCTTATGTGGGATTTGTTCTCAGGTAAGAACAGAATCTACACACATTCAGGAGCACAGAGGTGAGAACAGTTCTGTACACATATATGTTGTATTTACAAGCAGATGCAAACTGTCAGAATAAGTGGTTTTGATTTTAATCCTCAGCAAAAATTACTGTGTGACGGACCTACAAACATCAACAGCACCAAAACCTCCTATTCTACATAGCAGCTCCTGCTACAGCCTCTAGAGGGCGCAAACACTGGGGAATGTGTGTGTGTGCGTGTCTGTGTGTCTGTGTGTGTGTGTGTGTTAGTCAGTGTGGTGATGATGCTGATGCTCCTCCACCTTCCCTCAGCATCCCAACTTCTGTTACCATGGCAACTGCCAGCTGCTGAAGCAG